TGAATATGAACTCGAAACTTCAGAATAATAAAATAGGTTAAAACAGTTGTGTTTCAGTGACTTTAACCATCTTGATGATAAATCTAAGTAAACCCCTTGTATTTGACCTAAGGTTAAAGTTTCCTATTTCAAAGATTCCTGAAATTCATTGCACAAGTGACATTCTGTGAATTTCTTTAATGAATTCACTCACTAGGCACTTGGATATAAACCATAATCTAAGTGTGATGGATAGAGATACTATCCAGTTGCTCAAATCGAATTAACTAAAACATGGTTCGAACCTGAGACTCAGTGATAGAAAGTTGGGTGCCATAGCTACTAGATCACTCCTCAGTTCTACCAGACAATGTGCCTAATATTACTGTTTTATTAATAGGTGGTTCTATAAGTTTGATTCGTCAACATAATTCCATAAAATATGCGAATTAAAGAAAGAAAACTATCTGTGTAATCTCGTCTCAATGACACCAAAGTGATATTTTATGTTCTACACTTTTTTCATAGTTAACAACATTTATATCTTAAGATTTTATTTCACTATGCAGTTTGATGTGTAAAAATCTTTTTTTATAAAAACAAAAAGAATAACGAACACACTTGTTTGTTTGAAATGATTTCAACTTTTCTAAATGGTTATTACCAAACGAGCTTTATATCTCACTAATGAATAGTACTTCGTTTCATTGTATTATTTTCGTTGAGTGATTTTAACTACTGATAAATAAATCAGTAGCAAGTAAATCTCATTACCGTTTATTTCATTTTATTATTTTCAAGAGTATTTAATCATACGATGTGAATTTATTCATTTCGTCCGTCACATGTGATTGCATTCCATAACTGTCTTTTGTTCATTTATTTGTAGTTTTATTAGCCTTAAGTATGATGGTTACTATTTCTGTTTAATTGTTGGGAAATAAATACACTGGTGAATTTTGTTAATGATCGTAGTTCTACATCCCTAATTTGTATATATGCTGTTTATTTCCATGTCAGTACCCTGATTTTCTTGGTCAGTTAACCAATCCTATGTGTACATAGTAAGCTAAATTCCCTGTAAGAATGCTAGTGTGTTTTGTACAATAGTTGTTATTAGTGATTAGATCCTCTCCAACACTCACTAGGTGGATTCAGATGTATGTTGTTCACCTCACTGAAATCGTAATGCCATTTGAAAATCAATAAGATTTTGGACGGAATAATTTAATAAACGTTGGGTAGAAGTGATATCGGTAAAGTAGTAATTTCATTACGTTGTTGAAATGAATTATCGATAGGTATTAAAAATAGGCCTTACTAAATCTAACTCATTAAAGCTTTTGTGTTATAGTTATATCTGAATATTACAAACCCAAATTCAGATATTATGTAATATAATCAATCAGTCAGTCAGCTACAACGTAGGATCAGACACATATGTGGCAGAATACGGAATAATTATTCCATTTCTATATGTCTCAACAATGGAAAAATGCTGGCATTTCAACAAATAGAACCAGGTGAATACAAGTGTTTGTTTATACAGTGAGTTTATGGAAATTGTTGAGTTTCAATAGTTTCTTAACTAAGGTTAATGTTGGGACGGCTTTCGGAAAAGCATGATAGAGCCTCCAGAAGCCCCAAAGGAGCCAAAGAGTTTCCATCCAATCAGAATCTGATTGAGCTTTCTAGTTTGTGTGACGAAAACAAAAAGAATATCCAATCGAATGAATCCAACTATCAAACATATACAATGAAGTTCATTAGTTCTCCTTCTCTGTTGCGTAAATAAACTATTCAATATCCAAATATTTAAGATACAATAAATATCTGTCTAATATTACAAGTGAAATTTCATAATTTTTCATCAAAAACTCTTCATTATACAAATAAATTACATTTGTTCTTCATATTGTTTCTATTATAAAAGCACCATATAGGATTTCGATGTATTAGCTTGCACTTAAATTAACATAATTAAAAGGTGTCCATTTCCTAATACATTAATTAACAAAACTCTATGCATATGAACAATCTTATTAGATACACTTATGAACGGCTTGTAATTCATAAACACCTTGCTAAAGCATGTATTTGCTCGGGAATCAATGGATGAACACACGGATTTCTTTATAGATTATAGATGTTACTTGTTATGTATTTATTTGTCCATTCTTCTAACAATTATACTCGATGTATGTTTGTTGAATAACTTTTGTACTAACTCTAATAATTTCGATTTTCAGAAACAGAAAGAAGATTAAATGCCAATCTCAAGTAAACAACTACTGAAAACTAAGAGATTGGATAACTATCTTGTTTTAAAATGGAACTCTTCAGTAGTGGATATCCATGATCCATTAAGGATCATGTCCTCACTAGTGGCTATTTCTGAGGAGTAATTCCAGGAGTTCTAGTGAAGAGTTATGATTAGTAGAGTTCAGTGATGTACGTTGAGGCAGCTGAAAAACATCACTTGTAAATAGATGATGTGTCAGCGACCTTAACGGTAAGTGCTGTGAAACCTAAAGGTCCTAGGGTTTGATCCTCGGTAGAACTATTAATACACACTGTTGGAATGTCCCATATTAGGGCGATAAGATTCTCCAGTGCTTCCTGTTGTTCAGTAGTTATCTAAGATGGGTCCGTGATATAAACAATAAAATTCAACAGTCTCCACTATACTAAATGCAAAGTTATATTTGTCGTAGTTACAGATTAGCACAGATTCTGGCTGGCGATCACGAAGAAATACGCTCAAATAATACATTTTAGGCTGAATAAATCTTACAGTCTTAAGTTATGCAACTAGTGAGAAACTGGTGACTAATAGATTTCTTTTTGATGCACATGTTAATTCTACAGGACATGTTACGAATAATAATTATAATCTTGTTATTATCATGACACATGTGACAAGCCGTAAGATTCCTAACCCGTAAGCTTTACAACATATGACCTGTCTTTTGCTCACCGAGCAAACTGTATCAGTCACGTCGTAATCCAATGACCCGATATCTAGTCGCTTAGTCTAATGAATAAAAAAACAAACCAAAATTTGCCATCACACAGAAATTTTTTAAATTGTAATAATGAAATCTACGTGTTAATTTTGCTGGAGTCAACATTTGTAAAACATAAATTAGTGTAAAGTTGAAGTATTTATTCATTGTTGAAACGTGTTCTGGGCTATAAATATATGTCGTTGTCATGTACGGTAACCATTTACTTCGACGAATGATGCTTACTAGCATAGAATTAATTTGAAAATATAGGGGCAAGCAAATCAAGGTCTTACGAAATTCGTCAACTGCTGATTTGATCCTGTTTAGGTTGGTATAGACCACCTTCGTTAATATTTGTTTGTTCATCAGGATTACCAGTTGGAGACGTGTTGGGGCCGATATATCACCAAACTCATATTTTGTAATTTTATCATATCGATTAAATTATCGATTAAATGTTTAAATATTTGAATGGCTGTCAGTTGATGAACTTATCAATTAAAGTTTTAAATAGCAGACAATTGATGACTCATTGATTATTGTTTAAAAAATTTCCTATGACAAAATCGATATATATTTGTATAAATACGCTTGACTTGTATGCTTGATCTGATCTGCCTGCCTGGCTTGGTATCTGCTGTTGCTTGTAGAATACACTTTCTACGCCTTACCAAAACTTCTTGATCGAGTTAGCTGAGTCGAAGACAACGGACCAGAATAGTCTATTGAGTCTCTGAATCCTGAGCCTTCGTTCCGTTTCCGAATAAGTCGAACCAGTAGTATCCTCAAGGTTAACGAACCTAACAAGACGATTGGTGAAATGGTTCAGAAGCCTTCATAATCGAGTAGATCTATTCACTACTTGTCTTTCCTGAGACATAAAGTTACAAAATTATCTTATTTTTCTCAATTTGTGAAAACATTCTTTTCACATCATATTATCGATGCATAATGTTTTCTACTATTAATAATGATATTGTTCATACTACTTATACTACTCTGACAGTTGTCTGACTGTGTTAATGTAACATAAGAACTCCAATCAATGTAAATATGTCACAGGTTGAAATCATGAGTCAATTGAAGCTAGACCACCATGGAAAACCTGGAAGCACTGGACGGACGTTTCGTCCTAGTACGGGACTCCTCAGCAGCGCGCATCCACGATCCCACACCCCGCGGGATTCGAACCCAGGATCTATTGGTTTCGCGCGCGAGCACTTAACCATTAGACCACTGGGCCGGCGTCCAACGGCGTTAATAACTAACTTCAACCAATCCACGAAGTTGCGCCACCATATACCATTGTCTTCAGTGAGCTGATATCTCACAACAGACCTGGTTGAACTCCACTGGTAACGGCTTCTCACTAGAACTCCAGTGCTTCCAGGTTTTCCATAGTGGTCTGGCTTCAAATGACTCATGATTTCAACCTGTGAAATTTCTAAAAATTTCCACAGAACCCATTCTGATAATGTAAATATGTGTCAGGTTCTACATTACACTTATAACTAACTGACTGATATACGTGTATATAGAATTGGTTATGTAACGCAACCTTACTACATCATTAGTGAAAATAAATAATTAAACCTTCCAATACAGTGAAAAGCATTTTAAGAATTAAAAATGTGAAGGAAAAAAGATCAAATAAACAAGCATAATAATAATAATAATAATAATATAGTGATCACTAATTGATATGTGAACAACAAGTGTGAAAAGGAAAGTGGTGAGTACACCATATACACTATGGACAAAAATTAAAAGAGAAACAAACAACGCAACTACACAACATTATCAATTATAATCAGGTGATCAGTGGTTCTTTTAATTTGCCAAAAAAGGGGGGAGAGGGAAATTACTTGCGAAATAAAAAGAAACAATAATGTATAGATCAAAAGAAACACTTTTTATTGTATTTTAAATTTTTAATGGCATAAAAAGAAAAGAATCAAAAGTGTACTTTCAATGAATTTTTTTGTCTTTGTCTAACATTCTTTTTCTCTTGCATTAACTATTCGCTTCTTTGATACTATCATCAACATTACAACTAGTGGAATGACCGACCATATTATTACCACCTTCTAATTCAGCTAATATTTCCAATTCTAATTCTTCATCAATTTCATCTGTTACAGATAGATCATCATCATTATTATTATTATTATTAATTGGAAAAATAGAATTATTCTCTGATTTAGTTAAAACAAGTTCATCCACTTCACGAGCAATCTCTTCTTCTAATTGTTCTTCCAATGTTTTAGCTATAAATGAATGTTAATTTTTAGAAAAAAAAATAATAATAATAATAATGAGACAAAATATAAAACAGGATTTCAAAAAGGAAATGAATGAATAAATGGGTAGAGAAAAGTGAGAAATTTCAATGGTTAAGATCACGAGTCAATTGAAGCTAGACCACCATGGAAAACCTGGAAGCACTGGACGGCCGTTTCGTCCTAGTATGGGACTCCTCAGCAGTACGCATCCACGACCTCAGCCCCTGCAAGGCTCGAACCCAGGACCTACTGGTTTCGCGCGCGAGCACTTAACCGCTAGACCACTGAGCCGGCATCCAAAGTGAGAAACTTTGAAAATTAGTTACTTGGTGAATAATTTGGAGAGATGAATGAAATAATTGGAATTATTTGAAGGACAATGATTATATCATTGTTTATTGTGTATTTATTAAATAATTGGTTTATGATATTTATCTTTTATTGTATTTCCCTTATTGTATTCATTTGTTTCATTCATTAATTGTAATTACACGTTTTGCTGATCAAATGAATTGATCTAGGAGGCAATACAAAGAGGTTTACATTTATAACTACTCTGGGATATATGTATATGTATATATATATACCCAGAATGTAGTACTGGTTGGCGACCTATACTCCTACAAGAGGGGTAATGCAATATAGTCTTTTACTAATTGTAAGTTTCCATTTAACTCAGTAACGACTGATTTCTGTTTAACAGTTACAGCTACTACTATTTTCTGATATATGATAAAGTAATTAAAATATAATTGGTCACTGAGTGTGGACAAACAAACACATAGCCCATTGACTATTGTTTGATCTATACTCTGATTCTCTATTCTGGTTCGTGAATCCTAGATCTAATATAACGTGACTAGACTCATTATCGTAGTGCATTTGATAAATATACTTTAAACCATCCGTTATATCCCTTTCATTATTGTATAATAAATGACCTGACTTTGTAGAGATTCAGACTTCCTATTTATAGTGGTACGTTAAGGTATTTTAACTAGTCTAAAGAATACATGATAAATAGGGGTTATTTCTTTTGTAATTCAAACTGGACAGGATTCGAATGGGGCTAATCGGTTTTAAATATATACATTGTAGCTGTGTATCATAGGCATTAATATGTTATCGGTATAAAGGTACTCGTAATTACAATGAGGGGGGATAAGCAAAAAGATTACAATATATAAAATTGTTTTAATTAGTAAATTACTTAATCCTACTTCTCTCAATAGAAAAGAAGGCATTATCATACATCCTACTTGGACCATCTATCCTAACCATTCAGTCTGATCGTATTTACAATTTCATACTATCATATTACAAATTTAAACTATATCCTTTCTTATCATAAAGGTCACACAAGTTTTCATTCTTAAACAATGCACACTTACATACACACAAATTAACATACATATCACTTATGAATCACCTTGATAGAAATGACATGACATTAACTTGTTCAGAACTGTTTCTGATTGATCACATATTATTATTCTTGCATTGTTCCGTTGTACTATTTAAACTTGGACTAATTTTAATTTGGTTATTTATTCTCTGAAGAAGTGGCTTACACTAAGTCACGAAACGTCAGAAAATCTAATTTTCTACTCATTGGGATGTTACAAATATATTATTTTTATTTATACTTTGTGGTCAGATCAAACTATCTAAGTTCAACCTCATCGATTAAATTGAGGCGATTGATTTAACCGATGTGATTTACTTTATTCACATGTTTGTGTTTATCATGATGTGATCAGTGTTTCTGAGACATATTGATATTATAAATTCGTACAGAGTGATAAAAATGCTAGTAGCATTCAAATGAAAAACTAGACAAACAAATCTCATCTATACTGATATTACAAACTAGATCGACTTTAACCGTGGAACAACAAAACTATTTAAAGAAAATTGAACTAATTTCCACAATTAACCAACTAACGAATTACACATATGTGTCACCAACATACCAGTTGTGATACGCTGAACCGATCAGATGAAAGTCAAATGATAAATGAAAAATGTTAACGGACGTGTGCTATTGGTCAATATTTGGCTTAAAGAAATAACTATATGCTACTAGTTGAAAATTTGGTTTAATTTTGTGAAAGAGATAGATATATATTTATGGATGAATTATGCATATATTTTCTATTAGGGTTACTCAATAAAATCTTCTTACTCACTCTTAGTTTTCTTAATCAACTAACTAGTTTGGGCACGTATTGTATAAAAAGTATATGTATATAATTATCAGAATAAGACAACCATGGAACACAACGGGTTGTTTTACTAACGAACATCAATAAAAACCGTCAGAACATTAATTACACCGGTGACAAAAACCGATAATCCATCACCATGACAACCACAGATATGAAAGTATTGATTGAATGAATACATTACAATGTAGTACAAGTCACGTCGAATACATAATTTATATACTTATAAACTATATAATCAGTATAAGAAAGAATAAATCTCAATGAATTATAATCGATAGAGAAGTCATATGAACTATTATTATCATGTGGATCAAGTAATGTTTCACAGTGAGATAATAGAAATAAAACTGAAGTAGATATAAGTTAATATGTTATATAGTTAAACTCCGCCTGTAGCTATTCTAAAGTTACTGCTGGTCCCAAGCCCGCGTAAAGGAGGAGGGTTGGGCATGGAGTTAGCGACCTCATCCCGTAGAAAACTAACTCGCTAAAAAACGCTAACCAGAATAAATAATTCAAACCATTTAAACTCTGCCCTGGGAGTTAGGTCTTCATTTAGAAAAATTATGACGCTTCATGGTGCACTTGTAGGATGGGAATCTCACGGATCCAGAATCATCAAAGCATCATTCAAAACAAAGAAGGAGGGGATAACAATGAATATTATCCAATGCTATGTACCCACCAATAATAGCAACGACGACATTAAAGACCAATTCTATGAGAGGCTGCAGTCAATCATAGAGAAATGCCCAAGAAAGGACCTCACCGTTCTGATGGGAGATCTAAATGCCAAAGTCGGAATAGACAACACCGGATATGAAGATATTATGGGACGACATGGACTGGGAGAGAGAAACGAAAATGGGGAAAGATTTGCAAATCTGTGTGCATTCAACAAATTAGTCATAGGAGGCACAATATTTCCACACAAGCGTATACACAAGGCTACATGGATCTCACCGGACCACACTACAGAGAACCAGATAGATCATATTTGCATCAACAAAAAATTCCGAAGGACAATGGAAGATGTGAGAACCAGGAGAGGTGCTGACGTAGCTTCAGATCACCACCTAGTTGTGGCCAATTTAAAAATGGAGCTAAAGAAGAACTGGACAACTGGAGAAACAGCACTACAAAGGTTCAATACAGCCTTTCTTCGAGATACTGACAAACTCAATGAATTCAAGATAGCTCTCAACAGCAGGTCCCAAGCCCTACGGAATCTACTGAAGGAAGAAGAAACTACTATGGAGGACAACTGGAAAGGTATCAAAGAAGCATTAACTTCAACGTGTCAAGAGGTTGAGGGCCTCGAGAAGCATCATCATAAGGAATGGATCTCTATAGAAACACTGGACAAGATCAAAGAAAGGAAGAACAAGAAGACGGCAATTAACAACAGCCGAACACGAGCAGAGAAAGTCAAAGCACGAGCTGAGTACATAGAAGCAAACAAGCAAGTGAAGAAGAGTATTAGAGCCGACAAGAAGAAATACGTGGAAGAACTTGCAACGACGGCGGAAAAAGCTGCAAGAGAAGGAAATATGAAACAGCTTTACGAAACAACGAAGAAACTAGTAGGGAAATATAGTAAACCAGAGAGACCGGTCAAAGACAAAGAAGGCAGGTCAATCACTGAAATTCAACAACAGCGAAACAGATGGGTAGAATACTTCGAGGAACTCCTGAAAAGGCCGTCTCCAACGAATCCACCGGACATCGAAGCAGCACATACAGATCTTTCTATAGATGTCAATCTACCAACGACGGAAGAAATCAGAATGGCCATCAAACAGATCAAGAGAGGAAAAGCAGCAGGACCCGACAATATACCAGCTGAAGCACTGAAGTCAGACATCGAAGTAACTACAAACATGCTTCACCTTTTATTCCAAAAGATTTGTGAGGAGGAACAAGTGCCGATAGACTGGAAAGAAGGACACCTCATCAAGATTCCAAAGAAAGGAGACCTGAGCAAATATGAGAACTACAGAGGCATTACACTACTGTCAGTACCAGGAAAAGTCTTTAACAGAGTTTTGCTGAACCGGATGAAAGATGCAGTAGACGCCCAACTTCGAGATCAACAAGCTGGATTCCGTAAGGATCGGTCGTGAACAGATCAAATTGCGACACTACGGATCATTGTCGAACAATCAGTTGAGTGGAACTCGTCACTGTACATCAACTTTATTGATTATGAAAAGGCAGTGTAGATAGGAGTATGTTATGGAAACTACTTCGACTCTATGGATTTCTTGAGAAGATTGTCAACATTATCCTGAACTCATACGATGGACTACAGTGCAAAATCGTGCATGGAGGACAGCTGATAGATGCATTCCAAGTAAGGACCGGAGTCAGACAAGGCTAGAATGATAACGATTTTCAGTATTAGATATGTACGAGTAAGTATATGTTACGTCATTTAAAGATGGATGTGGATAGCAAAAAAGGGTGAGATCGTAATCACTTAGATTACGAAAATTGACTAAATGGATTGCACAATGATTTCAGGAGATATAGGGAGTTTACATAAATTTGAGTACTGAGTGAATGAATATCATAGATGAAGAAAAAGTTAATTTTAAATTAGATGTAGTCTCAGTTAGCTAATCGAAGATGGCATAACACAAAATGATAATAATAATAATAATAACGACAAAAACTGCCAATGTAGTAGCAGCTGCTTACTCAACAGTAGGGACAAGCATTCAGCGGAGTTTTACATTTTTTATCACTGCCTTCCTA